AGTGGAGCGGAGGGGGGAGTGGCAAACAAGCAGAGCTTCCACTTTTGAGTGGAAAATCCAGCTCTTATATGAAGGAAATATTAGATTTATATTAATGGTAATGGTTCACTTTATTATTAATAAAAAAAAAAAAAGTTTTCCTCCTAAAGTAGAACTACAAGCAAACAGGAATTCCTTAAAGCGGTAATAAATCTCCCCCCAAAAAACAAAATAAAATAATGGGCCCCCTGCAAGTTTAGGTCATAATGTACTAGTTTGCACTGCATACTAGTTTAGTAGCTGGAAGACGCTCAACAAGCACCCCATACTAGTACTTTATAACGAAACTCACCTGTACACAGAGCCGCCCAGTGCCGCGCTGGCACAGCTCCTGGTGCAGCCATCTTCACCCGATCTTCCTTCCGGGTGCGCAGGCTCCGGCAGTATGAATGGCCAGAGATGTGACAACGTCACTCCGGTGCATGCGGGTGGGAGCCCTCGGTGGCGGCACAGAGCTCTGGAGGTCCGGCACCGTGTGCCATCCCTTCATTACACCTGCGCCGGTGACATCATGCTGTGTGAATATTTCCTAAACAGTGCAAGCACGTTCACTGTACCTACAGGGAAGCCTTATTAAAGGCTCATCTGTAGGCACAACTTACAAAGACTTTACTGCCTCATTAAGGCTGCAGTCACACCTGAATGGTTTGTAGAATAAAAGACACTCAGCAAGCAAAATCTTCATTTTAAATGGCCCCTGTTTATGCTCAGATGTGAACACGGACTATTAAAATGAATGGGATTTTGTCACCAGAACTCAAAGGCAAGATCTCCCCTCTATTTCTGCTCTGGTGAAACACCCAAAATTTGGGGTTCTCTTTTCTTTTCTTTTGCTTGATAATGATAAAGAAAAAAAAAGGACAAATAGAAAGGGGGAATCCCCCCCATAGACCCCAATAAATCTGACAGCTGTTCTAATCTCTCTATAGTTTGTCTAAAACTAAACATTTTTTACTTTTAGGTAAAATTCATCTAGCTTTACTTACTTTTTCTAAGGATGACTCGTGTCGATTGATCGTTCAATTATTAGACTCTAATAGCTGGCAGATGTTTACTGACTACCATTTTATGAAATGCTTTTATTCTTAGTTTGTATGGCCCCCACATAATTGTATGCATGCCTGACAACGTTGGGGCATGCTCCTAATGAGACGACGGATGGTGTCCTGGGGTATTTCCTCCCATATCTGGACCAGGGCATCGTTGAACTCTGGGACAGTCAGAGGTGCAACCTGGTGGAATTAGATTGACTGAAGTATAATGTCCCAGAGGTGTTCTATGGGATTTAGGTCAGGCGAGCTTGGGGGCCATTCAATGGTATTAGTGGTGCACAGAAATTAAAAAATTCTGGTGCCGAAAACGAAAATTCAAAATGCACTTGGCCGAAAACCAAAATGCGCAGTTTTTTAAAAATGAATATATATTTTTGGGAAAAAAAAATATATACTTTGATAAAAAACAAAAAAAAAACAAAAAAAAACAAAAAAAAATATATATATATATATATACCCCAATTGTTTTGTAAAATATGAGAGGATGTCACGGTGAGTAAATAGATACCCAACATGTCACGCTTTAAAATTGCGCACGCGTACTGCGATTGTGGTATCAATGGGGGCATTGTTGCTCTCTTATTGTCTGATTCCTCTCCTTATCACCCCTATTTGACAACCCTGCTCTTCCTCAGGGGTTGGGCTCTTCTGTCATCGGTCCCTTTATGAGCACCTTATGGTCCGTAGCTCGAGACTTTATTTGCCCTCAATCAGGTCTTCTGCTCCTTCTGGGCGGGCCTGGGGATTGGTTGACCACTTTACATTTATGCACATTTTGCAAACACCTACACTCTTCTTCCGACATTCATTGTCCACTTACTGAGTCTGAGCGGTTGTGCTCCCGCTCTAATCTGCCTAGACATGTCCTAACCTCCCTATATAAAGTACTGCACAATGCTCTTCATTCCGATATCCCTCCCTACACCAAGGCGTGGGCTCGAGATCTAGGTAGAGACATCTCGGCTGCAGACTGGTCCACGTCATTCCACTTCGCCCATAAATCATCTATTTCTTGTTATTCACAAGAAAATAACTTTAAGCTCCTTTCTCAATGGTACAGGGATCCCCTATCCCTACACAAAATATTTCCTTCTACATCTAATCAATGCTGGCGCTGTACTAAAGCTGTTGGTACACAGCTCCATATCTAGTGGGATTGCAACCTAATACAACCATTCTGGTGACAGGTCTTTGCTATATATGACAAGATCTATGGCGAGTCCTTGGCCCCCTCGCTGGAAATTGCTGTCCTCTCTATATTACTGGGCTCGCTGGCTGCGCAGAAGAAAAATTTGCTGCGCTTCTCTCTATCCGCGGCCCGCCAATTGATACCTCTCTTTTGGAAGTCGACTACCCCCCCACCTCTTCCACTGTGGGTCTCTGTACTTAGTGATACCATAAGTATGGAGGAAATGCTGGCATTTGCCAATGATACCTACAATAAACATAAGTTGATGTGGTCGGTCTGGCTCCATTTCTCCAAGATTGGTGTTCCCCTGTTGTGCCTTAACGGAGTTGAGCCCTACTCCCCGGGTCTTTTTCATTCTAGCATGTTCATCTGTGTAGCCCTGCGGTCCGTATTGGAGTGCGTCCGGTGGGATCATTCTGATGTGATACCGATGGATGATCACCTTGTCTCCGCCATGCCCGTCTCCCAACCCTCTTCCTTTTCTTTCCTCTCTTCTTTCAATATTTTTACATCTGGTGTCTCCCCTCCCCCTTTTCCTTCCCCCTCCCTTTTTTCTCTTCTCTCCTTTTCTCTCTTTCCTCTCTGTCTGGGTGTATTCTCTTGGTTTTATGGAATTCTCATTATTGTTGAATATCGCCTGTCTGGGGATGCCACCCTTATATCTATGTTTGGATTCATCTTCCTTCATCCCCATGAATCATACTGATACCTATGTTGTTGTTTTTTGCCCATTCCATTGTTTATGTTCTTATTATTTTCTTGCTATATATTGTTTAATTTGATACAAAATCTAATAAAGACAACATTTGCTTTTAAAATTAAGCACGCTCGTGGAATGGTGTCAAACTGCGGAACTTAAAAATCTCCATGGGTGATGCTTCAAAAATTTCTACAGGTTAGTAGTGTAAAGTTACAGAGGAGGTCTAGTGCTAGAATTATTGCTCTTGCTCCGACGTTCGTGGCAATACCTCATGTGTGTGGTTTGAACACCGTTTACATATAACCAGTTCACGCCCAAACCTTACCTGAGAAATGATTGAAGGGTCCCGGTGCTGGGCATAGAGATTAGTGAAGGAAAGATGGCCTCCACTCTATTCTATGCCCCTGGAGGACCGGAGCGATATCATTTCACATTTTTTTAAAGTGCTAGATCAATGCTTTACATTGTAGAGGAGAGATGTGGGGTCTTATTGACCCCATACCTCTCCATAAAGAGGACCTGTCACTAATTATTTCTATCACAAGGAATGCATGCATTCTTTGTGATAAGAATAAAAGTGATTAAAATTTTTTTTAAAAAAGGGACAGTGCAAAAAAAAAAAAAAAAAAAAAAAAAAAAAAAAAAAAACATTAAAATGAAATAAAAAAAAGTTTAACGTGCTCCCTGTCCCCTCGTACTCGCACGTAGTGGTGAATGCATATGTAGGCCATGCCGACATGTAAATGGTGTTCAAACCACCGGCACCACGAATGTCAGAGTAAAAATTTTTAACGCATCACCCATGGAGATTTTTAAGTTCCGCAGTTTCATGCCATTTCATGAGCATGCACAATTTTAAAGCACGACATGTTGGGCATCTATTTACTTGCCGTAACATCCTCTTTCATATTCTACAAAACAATTGGGGTATATATTGGTCTTTTTAATCAAAGTGTATTTTTTTCCCAAAAATATATATTCATTTTTAAAAACTGCATATTTCGGTTTTCGGGCAAGTAAATTTTCATTTTCAGCACCAGAATTTTCATTTCGGTGCACCAATAGAGAGAGATATATATATATATATATATATATATATACATATACATACACACATAAAAAATACTGATGTGTTCCAAAGTGAGAATATACAGTTTTTTTTATTAGAAGGAAGTAATTTTCTTGCAACAGGTTTCAGTGCTTAATATTATTGCTGCTTCTAGATGCCTAATGTGAGAATATAGTACAGACTCTCAAACTTACAATTTAGGGGATATATCACACAGATACTTCTACTTATGTTTCTTCCTTGCTTACATTGACAGGTAGATAATCAGAGTACACACAACTTACAGAAGCCCTTTGTACAATCAAAAAGATGTATTTACAAAGTTATGTATATGGTACTTTTACTTTTCTGCACTGAAAAACAAAAGAACAAAACAAGTGAATGCCTAAGGGGACCGAATCCCCCAATCCTTACACACATTATCTGGTTTGCATTTCTCTCATATTTGACCACTGAAGCGTACCCTCCTGTCACTTTGCCTTTCTGCCAGAGGCCTAGTCACTGAATGACAGGGATAAAGAGAAATATGAACGCCGATTTTTGACATGAGGAAGCAAACTGCTGATTTTTAGATATCAATTCTTAATCTACTAACAGGTTTAAAGTGGACCATTCCCCCCTTTTCCAAAAAATTCACATCAGCATGCACCTAAGCATGCTGCTGTGAAATAACCCAACATTTGTTACTTTAAAATAGAAAAAATTGCCACAACTTACTTTTTGTTTTCCCCTGCCTGCTACGAGATCCTGCAGTTTGGGAATGAGATTTTTCTAAAGGCACTAGTAACATAGCCCTGGACACAAAGAGGCCCACTGGGAAGGCCATGTCCCTAGTGCCTTCAGGGAGCACTCATCCCTAAACTGCAGGATCACGCAGCAAGGCATGCTCCCTCCTCCCTAAAAAGATGAATGTGATGACGTACAGCACAGGTATATTAGAGTCTCACTCACCTGTATGCGTTTCCTTATTCTTTGGTAAGTCATGTTTCTTCCATTGGCGGCTAAACCCAGGCTGCATAGATTGTTTAGAAGCACGGTCTTGAGAGGGGTGTTTCCTTCCTGCATGCTTCTCATCTGTCGTCCAGTGGTGTCCATGGGACTTTGGCTCCGGATATGTGTTAGATAAGGGAGGCTCCTTTACACGATCAGCTTTCTTCTCTTTAGATGAAAAAACTGCTGAATGACTTTTATCGTGTCTTAAAGGTTTACTCCCCAGCACTTCATCTGTCTTACTTGCATGATCATCCTGAGGTTTTTTCCAGTTTAGAGATTCTCGTGAAGGCTTAATTCCAGGACCTGAAGCTTTCTGCTTCTGCTCATTTCCTCCGATGCCTTCATAATGTTCAAGTGATTTGAAGCGCTCTTCATTATGGTTTCCTGATTTTGCAATGTCTCGAGGTGGTATATTTTCAAACATTTCTTCCGTTTTTTGCTTGGGAGCTACCCGTTTCTCCCGCTCATAATGCTTTTGTTCTATCGCGAGGTCCACGCAGGGATCCTCCAGACACATGAGTCAGTCTCTTTGGCTTGGCACCACGGCTATCAGCGCTGCCAACTTCTTTCTCACTTTCTGATGAACACAGGTCACTGGGATCTCTGGTTCTTATGCGCCAATCACCAAGAGGTGTGGTTCCAAATGATGGCCTTGCTGAGGTGTCAGAAAGAGGCTGCCTTGGATGGTTCCTTGTGTGTGATCTTTCACTTCGAGACCGATGCCACCTTTGATTCTGAAAGCTGTGGTTCTTCACAGGTTTGCTTGTGATTTCTGGGGATCCTTGCCTTCCATTGTTACTCTTGGCAGAGCTGTGGTAGGAGTGCATTTTCTGTGAAGGACTGTCATTACTTTCTCTAGTTGGCGGATGTGGTAGAGAAGAAGGCAGATTGCTGGTTCTGCCCCAATTTCTGTTGCTTTCGACTCTGCCATGACTCCTCCAGCTAGAGTGGTGACTTAAGTGCTCTCTGGGTATGAAGTCGGCTGCTTCAGGATTGTACTTTGTTGGTCCTAGAAAACATAAATACCACAAACGTAGAATGTGAAATTCAGAATATGTCAAGAGAATTGAAACATTTATGAGGCACCTGCAACTACTTTCATAAAAGCTCTCCCTATACGTTATGAAGGATCCAAAGCACAAAAATGCACCATGCAAGTCTTTTTGTTACTTTGCACTGCAGGTAGCCCTTTGGTGGAATTATGTCAGACACAAAATTCAATTTCCTATGTCTGTGCATTTTTCCTACATTGAAAAACAACAATTTACAGCATATCCAATAATGTAACTTGTGTGAATGAATACGGATACAAAGTGTATGCCAAAAAATCCATACAGAATAAAAAAATTCCCATTTTACAAAATACATTTAGAAGCAAAACCCCATACAATATTGATGAAACAAGGCTTTTCAAACTGAAATCATGAGTAGAAGGTTGGATTTGATTTAAATCACTAGTAAAAAAGGTTCAATTTAAGTCAAAATTTTTAAAGAGCAACTGTCATTTCTGTCCCACAGCGGCTCCTCCTCTGACCCGCTGCTGACTGACTTTATTGGGACGGCTGGTGATGCGGAAGTGACACAACAAGGGATGTGGCGGCAGTAGGGAGTGGATGCCCGCTGCCATTATGGATCTAAAACGACAGGTGCTCTTTAAATGTAAGGAATCTGACTCATTCTTGCTGGTAGTTAGCTTATTATTCTAAAAAGGAAACCTTCATTTCCTTTTGCAAATATTCTGTCAGGTTAGTAAAACAGATATCAGAACGGATTTTAGGTTCATCACACATAGCTGGAGAACTACTCAAATTCTTTTATTTCATGTTATTTCTCATGGTTACTGTGAAATTGTGTGAATGCGTCAATGCTGTGCATGTTATCTCAGCTCGCAGAGCTTGGATTCATTGAATGAGTTTACCAAAAATGTAAATATTGCAGAATATACAGCCTCCTGCTAGATAATTAAGCTCCATTTCATGCTGAATAAACTAAATTAATAATGTATCTTAAATAGAAAACTATCTTTAGATTTTACTCCAAATGCATTTTATTAAAATACATTTGATAAAAATAAAAAAAATCCAATTTAAATTTTAAAAAATCCAAATTTTTGGTTTTTTTTTTTTTTAATTATCGATTTTTATCCACCGGAGTAGAATCAACAGCAGGAAATTGAATTTAAATATAGCATCACATTTGCTAAAAATTATTTGTGCCTGGATGGTGAATCTATACTAAATAACAATGCAATATGAAAATACTGCAGCTTGTCACTCCATGAATTTGGAACACACTATCTCCAAAATCGCATCCAAAAGTGCTGTTGTATTCAAACACAAAACGCATGAAATTGAACCACTGCAATCGCACCAAGAAACTGATCATCTCTGCATCGTTTATGTGTGAACCTAGGCCAGTGGTGGGCAACCTTTTTTTTCAACTGAGCCAAATCTCGCCAAAACCACGATTGAAATTTATTTTGAGAGCCACATTTTTAAAACTGAAAATACATAGGATGGTACACTGTTTTTAGTTTTTATAGTAATTCATCCCCCATAGTAATTCATCCCCCCCTATAGTAATTCATCCCCCCTATAGCAATTCATCCCCCCTATAGCAATTCATCCCCCATATAGTAATTCATCCCCCCTATAGTAATTCATCCCCCCTATAGTAATTCATCCCCCCTATAGTAATTCATCCCCCATAGTAATTCATCCCCCCCTATAGTAATTCATCCCCCCTATAGTAATTCATCCCCCCCTATAGTAATTCATCCCCCCTATAGTAATTCATCCCCCCTATAGTAATTCATCCCCCCTATAGTAATTCATCCCCCATATAGTAATTCATCCCCCCTATAGTAATTCATCCCCCCTATAGTAATTCATCCCCCCTATAGTAATTCATCCCCCCTATAGTAATTCATCCCCCCATAGTAATTCATCCCCCATAGTAATTCATCCCCCCCATATAGTAATTCATCCCCCCATATAGTAATTCATCCCCCCATATAGTAATTCATCCCCCCTATAGTAATTCATCCCCCCATAGTAATTCATCCCTCATATAGTAGTAGTAAGTAAGTAGCAAGTAGTAAGCCAAGTCCCCCCTGTGTCAATTCACTTACCTTTGCTCCGCGCGTTCTTCTCGCCGTGTTCCCGCGCCGTTCTGGTCTTCAGGGCGGACTGTGAGAGGAGCCTAGCTCCTCTCACGTTCGTCACGCTGCCCCGCCTACACACATCCTGACAGCCAATCACTGGCTATCAGGATGTGAGTGGCAGCGAGACTGGCCAATCATTGCATTTGAGCGCGCTGCCCTGGCTGTTTTTTTTTTTTTGGATCACGCTCCGCGGACCGGATTAAAAGGTCCGCCGGGCCGTAGTTTGCTCATTGCTGGGCTAGCTGCAGAGTCCTGACTTTTGGGGCGGCCGCCTGAGAGGAGGGAGGGGAGCGGGCGCCCGGCACACAGAAGAGCCGCATTAAAGTGTGTAAAGAGCCGCATGTGGCTCGCGAGCCGCGGCTTGCCGACCACTGACCTAGGCTAAAATGTTAATTTGGTATATGAAGGGCTGGGAGCTCAAACATGGAGATCCTGTCATCAGACTCTCTGGCGGATGTAAAAGACAATGAGGCATTTTATTTCTCTAGCAAATAGTTTAGGGAGGGCTGACCCTTGAAGACAAGATCAGTACAAACCTAATAAAATGCCAGTCACTGCCTTACCCAGCTAATGAAATGACAGTCATGAGAAGTCCTTCACTGCACTGCTGGGATGTTGGGAAATACAACAAAGGTGTGACTACGGCTGGCCATAGATGGATCAAACTTTGGCTGGTTCAGCCGGCACCAGTCACATTTTAATCAATGTGTGGCTGACCCCATTGACAGGAGTTGATCTAAATGAAAGACTTCTGTCCAAATGACTTGTTTTACAGGTGCAGTCAGGGAACCAGAAAATGCGGCAAAACGGCATTTGCACTTTTATTGCATTTTTTCAGCAGAGCAGTGTGAAAGAGCCCGCTACCTCTACCGAATGTTATTGGTTGGCATTGCTCCCAGGTATCTATGTGGACCACAAAACACCTAACCTGTTATGAAGAGCAGATTTGTTCTCTGTAATCCGAACATACTTCTTGTCCTAGGGTGACAACATGGCTCCTCCATAGATACAGTACTGAGGGTACGGTCACCTTAAGACAGGAAGTGTGCATTGGATAGAACCCCAGGTGAAAAAAAAAAAAGGGGGGGGGGGGGGAGCCATTAAAGAAAAGAAAATAAATGCAGATAAATCTTCTAAGAAAGCTGCAATATATAAAATTTTCTTCTTGAGTTTATATGCACATTAAAAGACAATTTTAGTATATGAAAGGCAAAGGATCTTGCCATCAGAGTCCCTGGCAGACAAAGGAAAGTTAGGCTGGCCATACACTATACAATTTTCTACCCAATTTCCTTTAGATTTACCTTCAACTATGTAGTGCAAGGGCCTGCCTAATTGGATACAATTGCAAGTGTTGCTAAGGTTTGACCTCCTATTATATGGTTTTTGGTAAATCTAAAGCAAAATTCTCAAAACAATTGTATATTGTATGGCCAGCCTTAGGCATTTTTCTCTCTCTAGTATCAGTTTAGGGAGGACAGGTCTTCCCCAAACTGATACTTGCTAGGGAGATAAAATGTTTCAGTTTATGACGGCCCTAAGCAGCCCTTCACTGGACTGTAAGAAACCCAACAAGGGGAAGACTAAAGGGATGCATATGGAACATAATTGTGCTCTCTACCAACTCTTATCGCTTACAATTGCACTCAGCTATCTCTTCAGACTACAGAACCCCTCCTCTCTCTGTTATGGAGAGGGAGAGAGATACTTCTTGTCCTAGTGGGACAATGCTGCTCCTCCATAGACATCCAGGACTGGAAATGTGTTACGGACAGAACTTGAAGTGAAAGCAAACAGGTTAAAGCCATAGAAACGAAAAAACGAATGCAGCCACCGCATTGAAATGGCCTATGGCTCTGGTCCACATGTGGGCGTTCTGAGCCTATGAAGTTTTTGGAAAGGACTAGGGACTTTTTTTTCCTGCAGCAGATTGAGTTTTAGGTTCGATAGAATGCAATAGAACTACATCAAAAAGCATGCAAACGGCATGTACATGTGTTTTTGGTGCAGTTCCCGCATGATAACAGACACCTCCCCTTAGCAACATTAACACATCCCAGAAGCACAAAACACATCAAAAACATGTGTGGGGAAAAAAAAAAAAAAAAAAAAAAGATGCAAAACACACCAGGAAAATACATCAACTGCGACCTGCATAGGTCCTAGCCTTACAGAACATGTAAACATTTGATATTCCTGATATGTGGCTGTTGTACCATGTACTGTATGAAAAGGTATCCTGTTCTCTTTGTATGCTATACCTGGTGTTCCCGCCAGTCCCTCTGCTTTTTTTTATTAAAAACTGACCACACTAAGCATAAGATCTCTCCATGGTCAGTTTTCCAGCTGTGCTGGAAACTCAATGTGCTCTCTTCCAATGACCACACACACACACACACACACCACACACGCACGCACGCACGCACGCACGCACGCACAGCACGCACGCACGCACGCACGCACCACACAAAAACGCACCACACACACGCACGCACACACACACACACACACACACACAGCGCGCACACACACACGCGCACGATCGGTGAGCTGCTGTTTCTCCTTCCCCAGGTCTTATGCAGCTAACAGAAGGAATGTGATCACAAAAAAAAAAAGGAGGGCAAAAAAGGTAGGTTTTTTTTTTTTTATATCTGTACACATCTGTTTTACCTTTCATTTCTATTTTAAACTGAATGGGTTGTTTTACAAGTTGAGGGTTTCCATATTCTTCAAGGCTGTCTGAGTTGCTTTGGTTTCCCTTTTAGTTGCTAATGTAGTTGCTTCTGAATTAAATTAAAGCTGACTGCAGGGAAAGAAGTCCCTAAGCCTCGGTTCAAATTATGAATCA